TGAAGCCACTTGGCTGACTCTGCTGCGCCCGACCCCTCCTCAGCCTCCCTCCGCCCTCAGGCCGCCAGCCCGAACTCCGCGGCTGGTGCTTTCATTTTATTTCCGACCACGTAGAGGGCTGACTGGAAGGGATGAAACAATCCAGGTTTTCTAGGGAGATGGAGCAAGCACCTCGGTTGGGGGTGGAAGTAGGGTGGTGGTGGAGATCCAGCCAGTAAACAACAAAAAAATCAGTTTCTAAGGACTGTGGAGTTCGGTTCAATCCCGCGGCGGCTCTGTTTTGTTTTGCTTTCTTAGTGTATAATCCTACAGATAAGAGGGTAATATAAATACTTCGGAAGATTGGGAAATTGCTGAAGAGTAGTAAGGGCAAGAAAAAAAAAAAGCCAGTCGGAAGCTGGTTATATAATGCGCGATGTGGCTAAGGAGAACGGCAAGCTATTTTTATTTTGTTTACCGTATGCTGTGCAGTAGGGACTCCTCTCCAAACTGGTTCTGTCCCCGAAGAGATTCTTAGCTTCCCTGCGAGATCCACAGGGTACAGTTAGCAACAGTATAAGACCCCCATTACACCCACAGAATCAAAACTAATGCCTTAGAGTGGCATACTCTCTGCACATCCTGTCGTGCATGCACGGGAATGTGTGTATGCAAATAAGTCCTCCTTTGGCAATCTAGTAGTCACAGCTCAATGACATTTGTGTTTTATAATGCAGGGTGCTCTTAATATTTAAACATCATCGTTACATGTCGCACACAGCAGAGGGTGGTTACTTGATGGTTATTTTTAGGCTCAGCTAGTTACTTTTCAACACTGTTAGCTAAGCCATTTCTGTTTGGGTTTATGAGGAACCTTGCAGTTCCTAGAAGCCCCTGGTAAAGCCCACCTTGTGGTTTATTTGGTGGGCGAAGGAAGTTTGATATTTGAGTTTAGTGTGTGTGTGTGTGTGTGTGTGTGTGTGTGTGTGTGTGTAATGAAACGCATGCCTGGGGAAACCACCAGAGAGGAGGATGAGAAAATCCTGCACATGAACTCTTGGAAAGGATTGCACCATAACGGCCAATGCTGTGGCATTTAATCTCCTCTGACTGCCCTCTAACTGTGCATGCATCAGTCAGTATTTTAACAGCTCCACAGACAAATGGGCTTAAATGCCCCCTTCTACATAAAGCAGAAGTTGAAGTCTCCCCCTGAACCTCCTGCCTGCCTGTCTTTCTCCTCTTGTAGATATGGTCAGTGGTGTAGGTTTTCGGAGCACTTACTCCAACCCCATCACTCATGTAATTAGATCAGGCTGCCATGGCAACAGGCAGTGTTCCTCCTCCATTCAGGTGGGTTTGTTTTGTGCCTGGACTATTCCAAGTGTTTTATGCACAGTATTTGTGCTGCCCAAGCCAGACGAGAGGGACTTCACTATTTCAATTGCGCCTTCATTTGGACGGGAGACACTGAATGAGTCTTATCCATACTCTTATAAAGGAGACCAACAAGCTGTTCTTACTGGGTGCAGTATGTAAATGCCTCTCCCAGACAGTGAAAGGAGCCCGACAATCCTGCTGGTGTTTATTGTGAACAGTTCAACAAGTATTTGGTACTTGTTAGAAACCTTTCAGAGCTGACTAAAGCAACATTTCTTTTGCCTTCTGGTGCCATTGGCCTTGCAGGCATTAACCCTTTCAAGGGCGGAAGTGCTCATTCTTTAGAACCTAAGTTACAGTAGTCATGACTGGTTTTCTAAAGGGTTTACTCAGTGGAAGTAATTTATTTGGGAAAGTTATCCCCATTGTCACATTTTAAAACTTTACAGCCGTCATAATAGCAAAAAATGGGACTGACCGTAGGCAGCCATTCTGAATGTATTGAAGTGCTTCATTTGGATCTTTTGGCCATGATCTTTAATCTGTGATAGTAAGTGAAAAGGTTTGTGTCTCAGGAAAGGGATCATACAGGCCTGTAGCTGGTAGACTGATAATGTGTGGTGCTTTTGCACAATAAACAACTTCTGCTCTATTTTGGGATATAATTTAATGAGCATTTAATAATTTAGAGAGCAGCAGTCCACTCTTTGTATTAGGGCACCACCTTATTAAACCTGTTAAGCAAAGACAAGTAATACTGTTACAAAAAGAAAAGAAAATTAGCTTTGGTTGTGGAAACTCTGTGTTGCTCGGGCAATCCACATAAAGGGAAGTATTTTAGTAACCTTGATATTTGAAAGTAAAAATAATTGAAATCACACCTTGATTTAGTTGTGACCCTGCCACCGGTCCCCAAGCTAAATTGGTAAATCCTTTTCCCCTTGGGGCCAAGGGTGGGGTGTGAGGTTACCAGTTTCTAGTAGTGAGTTTATGTGTTTGGTAACTAGATTGTGGCCTACTCAATTGCAGCGGTTAAAACGAGGAGCTACTGTTATTCCTAGGAGGTAAACAGATGGGATGCAAGAATATAAAATAAGGTACAGAAGTGTAAATTTTACCCAACACCTTGGAGGTCCTGGATGATATTTTGTGACTTACAGAAAATCGTTTTTACTTGCCCTAAAATGTGAACATGTATTTTTGAATGCATAAATTCATGCTAAAGTAAGGATGAGAAATGTACCTGATTGGGAACTGTGAAAAGTTAATATTTTTCTCTCTGGATTTCGTTTTAAGAGGGTTTGGTAAACAGAAGTGATACTTTATCAGAAATATTATAAATTGGCTTCAGGGCTTCTGAATTGTCTTTTACTAGAGAAAGGTTCAAGAAAAACTCTTTAGCCCTGGGATTATACGTCAAATGCCTGTAGATGGCCCTGTGTTTCAATATACCTTCCTCAGTTGTTTGGGAGTCCTGGGAAAGGTCAGCCTGAAGAGATTATTAAAATGTTAGTGAACATATTTCTGTGACTCCTGTTTTTGTTGTCATTACAGAGTTTAAGGACTCACATTCCTTTTGTATAATGTGCCTTTATTTTTTTTTCCATTCTGAAATGTCAAGTGGATTTTACTTTGGCACTTAACTTCAATGACAGTCTGATGACTAACATATTGTGACACCAGCTCCCTATGTTTCCTCATAGAAGTTAGTCAATAAATATATCTTACTAAACTAGGTAAACGTAGGAGTGAATGTTAATTCTTTAAATTACAGTTGTTTGAAAGTAATAACATAGTTTAGGTTCCGGAGAGCTTAAATACCTGCATACATAAACTGACCTAGTGCCATAAGACAGAATATAAGTTTTAGGGGTGAGAGAGATAATTTTGTTTCTGTTGCTTTATGTTTCCAGAATAATTCAATGATTTGAATGGTTGGCTTCTGTGAGAGATTTAGATATGTGCAGTTTAATTGCTTCAAAGAACAGATTTAGTACAGGTCATACTTTCAGTTATCAGAAGCAGCCTTCCTTATTTTGTTAAAAGCATTGAAAATAATAAATCATCTAAAAATCCCAATAGAGAAGTAATTTCTGTTCTAAGGCATTACATATAGGACTGCCCTTTTTTTTATTCTTAAGAATGAGGTTGGAAAACAATAGAATTATGCTGTTCAAATTTTAGATTCATTAAATTCAGTTTAATAAAATACTCATTCAAAAATTCTTTAAGAGAGGATATAATGATGAGTATACTGAGTGCTAGTTTTAGAGACTATTTTTAAATGTTGGCTGAAAGAGTTGTAATTGGATATATACATATATATATATGCTTATATATTCTATAATTTTAATATATGCTTAAAATTATAGGAGCAATAAAAAGATTTAGGTATTCCTGGTGGGTCTCTCGGTTGGTTAGCATGTTGTCCCTATATATCAAGGTTGCAGGTTTGATGCCCAGTCAGGGAACATACAAGAATCAACCAATGAGTGATAAATAAGTGGAACAGCAAGCCGATGGTCCTCCTCTCTCTCTTTCTCTCCCTTCCTCTTTATCTAAAATCAATCAATAAAAATTAAAAAATGATTTAGCAAATAATTGTTATTTGTGAAAACAGTTCTTTAAAACCCTTTTTTATTTCATAATTTATATATTTTTGTCTTTTATCACTGTATATATTTTATAATCCTTATAAATCTGAACTTTTCAAGTTAATGTACAATAAATATTTGTACTATATATTACCATTACTAATATGCTAAAACATGTTTAGAAATGTTACAGGCAAAAAAGCAATGAGCATTATATTTTCTTTGACATGTTTGATGTTAGCAGAAATGTTTCATTGATTTTTCTATAACTTTCAATGCATCCAATTTGTGGAGTAATGAAAATGCAATGATAATTGCCATAATGTAAGCAAAAATTGTATCCTACCTGAAAATTACTGTTCAGAAAATTCATTGTAGTGTAATCAGAGGTTGAGACTTAAGGGGACAGAGGCTCTCCTGATTGTGGTCTTTTGATTCAGGCTAAGAGGAACTCCTTTTTTTTTTTTTCTACTTAGGTGCTCTTTAACATGACATGTTTTGAGGGAGTCATTTAGCAGAAGTTTTTAATGATAATTGACACTGCTACTGACCCAGAAGCATTTATGCTTCTAGCATTCAAAGAAAGTGTATTTTTTTGTCACTGTATATGGTAGTTTTTCTTTTATTGCACCCTGAGCTTTGGCCCACTCTCTCCGAAGTATTTATAGTATCTCCCGTGTTTACATTATTTACCTATTATCTCCTCTTTATTGACCAACGCATAAATATTATTTAGGCCACCTTTCTTACTAATCTTCCACTATTAGTGGTATTGTGTTAGGTTGCTCTGCTTTTAAAATATTAAATATTCCATGTTTAGTGTATATATTGTATAAAATAGTTAATAGGTTATTTTCTTTTATATTGCTTGTATTGTTTTGCTATGAATCCATTCATTCTTGCTCTTGTGTATTCTTGTGTTTCTTTCCTTTAAAAGAATACAGCAAGTTATGTTAACTTTCTTAATTACTTTAACTGATGTAGCAATACAAATAATACAAATATTTTTTAAATAAGTAGGCATACCAATGAGAAAGTAAATTAATATTTTACAGCATTTGCATCATGTTTGACTGTTCTCTGCATTTCAGCAGAATAGGAGGAGACTGTAATTTGGACTCTATAAAACCTTATCTGTCAGGTGATATGTAAATGGGGTTGTGTGCACACACATTGATATATACAGGCAAACACCCTCACAATTGTTAGCTCAGAAAGCAAGTGCTGCCTGCGAGTCTGCGGTACCTGCACCTTGTTCGAAAGTGATTATTCAGTGTTCTGATGTTTCATTTGATGTTACTAGATCAAATCAAGACTCCTCCCCTTAAAACAATTATTGTATAAGAGTAAATAGAATTTTGTGAGCATCTATTTAATTTGGCCACTATTTACATTTGTAACCCAACAAGCTTTTTAGTAGAGGGATAGTGTCTTCAAAGACGTTTTAGTCTGGTACAGTTTATCTTCTTTTTCTGTACTCACAGATTACACCTGGTTAAAACCAAGGCCTGGAAATGGAACTTCTTTTGATTATAAGTCCCCGGCATGCAATAATAGATGCTTAAATAAATACTTGGTGAATGGATTAGTTAGAAGTAAGAATATTTTGGCTACTATTCATTACTTTGAAAAGTGTTGGAAAGCTGCTGAAATTATTTTCCTTTCCAGCTGGGTTGTGCTCTTAAAAATAGTGAGTGTGTATGGATGAAAATAATCATGACTACTGAGATGTGTTGCCATGTACCCAAGGATAATTGGCTTACTACCTGTTTACAGATTATTCACATTGGAGATCATATTCATAGCTCCAGAATAGTTTCTTTCTGACTCCCAATATAATCCTGGGCTTTCTCCTTCCTACTGTTACCTGGCATGGGCTTAGGAAGCCCAAACTAAATTTAAAATCAGCCTAAACAAATGTGCAGATCAGTTCCAGTAATCAAAGACTGGAAATCAGTCCAGCGATGACTAGTTTGGGAATATTTAATAATAACTGTGCTACTGATTCTGTAATGTGGAATTACCAGTATCTAAACATATTATTTTAATAGATGGGGCTGGAAACTGTTAGCAGATCAAGTCCTCAACTTCTTCCATTTCTATGCATAGGTCTTTACCTCACAAAAACTACAAGCACCAAGCTCCCTGATGGAAAGGTATATGGAAGATTCATTCATCCCCTTTTTCATTCATCCATTCACACATTCATTATACATAAGAAAATTTTTTACTTTACCACGTGCAAGGCATTATGGCAAAATGAAAATGAAATATACATACATTTAATAATGAAATGCTTTAAAGTTTAGTGGAAAGTCTAGTGACTATGTGTATTCTTTTAAAATTTTTTTCTGCCTGTGTTACATTCTTCTATCCCATTAGATTGGTATGCTAATAACTGTGCTTTTTTTTAATGATTGTCCCTTATGTTGCATGTTGATAGTAATATATGCCACATTAAAATTAGACTTTGGCTCAATTATTATTCAATCCATATTCATTGTCACCTGATATTGTTGTGATTACCAGCATGTGTTGATCAGATGATTGGTTAGAATCATTAGAGAAAAGAATGACAGTAGTTGGCTCAAATGGGGAGACCGAGCTCTTAATTTGATTGAGGGGATGACCTTTTTGTGTGTTGGCCTCCCTCCGAGGCCCCGTTGAGTAAAACCAGACCTGCCTTTTGAGCTGGCTGGTATCTGTGTGATTCTCCTGAAATAAAATGCAAAATTTGGTGTTCTTAAGAGCGAAGATTTCAGTGCATTGACACTTAAGTGGAATTACTTTTTAAAACAATCTGTTCTGTTTTTCATTTTGATTTCCTCTTCTGCGCTTCCTGGACCATTGCAGGAGCACCGTGCAGCAAGTCACCAAGGTGGTCCATTCAAACTGCAGACTCGTTTGTCATCCTTGTACAGCAGTCTCCTCCTCCACAGCCACTACAGAGAAGTGCGTCACATATCAGGTGAGAGTTTTGTGATGCTTGCTAGTTCCCATCTGAAGATAAAGCCTGGCCTGGAAAAATCGCCTACTAGCTATCCATTAGCACTTTGTGGACTGTTTAATATAATTGTCTTTGCAAACATATTGTGTTGGAAATAGAGAGATTGCCAAGAGAGTTTTTTATAAAAGTTGGGTTAAAGTATCTCTCTTTTTGGTTTCATTTTATTTGGCTAATGAAGAAGTTAGCATTTGATTTTGTGATGATTGACCATTGTGTGTTGGGCTCGAGCCCGATCATTTTAATTGTCACTTTTACTTAGTGCAATGAGAATGCACAGTTTCCATGGTTTAGTTTTTTGTTGAAGAGTGCCACATGTGCAAGAGGCCTCTTTGTTCAGTGGCAACCAGTATTTGTTGAATCTTGAATTTCTCTGTCTCTGTCTGGATTTTACAACTTCCTGATTTCCTCACGTACAGTAAATTTTTCTGGCGTGGAAAGTCATGCAGACACCGGGTGTATGCAGGGTTGATGACTCACGCTTCTCGGTTGAAGAGAGGACAAGAGAATACTGCCTAAAGGGAGTCAGGAGAGATGGAAGTTAGGCACAAGTTGGGGCACTAAGGGTTTGGGAACACTGGTGTACGCAACCAAAGGCAATTGTGAAATAGATTCCCTGTTTCTATTTGCCTTGGGAGCAGTCCTGCTGGAAGCTGTGGAAATAGACTAGTTCAGAGGTTCCTAAACCTGGCTGGGCAACAGAATCACCTGGGAGCTTAAAAAAATAGAATTTGGAACTCAACCCTAGACCTATTGAATCGAAATGAACCTTCATGGTCTCTTGGAATCAGACTGAGGCTCCTCAGGCTTGGGAACTGCTGGGATGGGTGGTCTCCAGGCAGCTCTTCCTGAGAACTGTTCTACTTCCTTCCTTGGTGAGATGGAAAGTCTACCTTCCATCAAGCTTCACAAATAAAAATATGGATTTTCAACTAATTTGTTACAAGATGGACATTTGCTTTACCAAAATGTTCATCTTGAAAATGATTCTTCAGCTTTCTTTAAATAAAGAGCTCCCTCTCTTTATCTAAGATCCAGCTTTTAAGTTACATGTAAATTCTGTGGCGTCTGAGGTAAGAGCATGGGGCTCTGGGACCAGCCTGTCTGGCTTTACATCTAGAGTAGCCACTGTGACCTTGGGCCATCCTTTAACCTTTTGATGCCTCAGTGTCTCTATCTTAAAAATGGAGATAATATTAGAACTTTATCCTAGGGCTGCTGTGAGGATGGAGTGAAATAATATACATATATAGGGTAGGATAATGCCTGGCATATATGGTTTATGATCCACGAACATCAAGTAACTTATGTCTTGACAGGGTAATTCTGATATTCTTGTATTGTGATGGTTGCTCCTGGACCATATATGACTAGGAACAAGTAAACATACCTATACCTTGGTCTTTGGACCAACCCTGTAGACATTTGTAGCTCTGCACAACAAATGAGACTTACTTATTTTTCTGAATTTTGTGTTCATCCAACTCTCTTACTGGGATAGGATTCTCATGTATTGTTTTTATATTGTTGTAAGATGAACTGATGAGTTGTATGCACATGATAAGTTATTTGTGATTTGAGTAAAAACAAGCAAAACCTTGAGTGACTGAAGTACTATGTCCCAGAAAGGATAGTCAGAGAAGTCTGTTGGGAGGGGAGCAGAGGAGGGAGGAAGTTATCACATTATATCCTTGTAGAGTTTGGAACTGGGTACTTGGCATTTTATTGGCTGTGGATTAGGGAGATGGTCTGTGAAAGGAAATAGGATCACCCTGCAGTTTCATGCAAAGGTAAGCTGCTTTTGTTGTTGTTAATCCTCACCCAAGGATATTTTTCCATTGATTTTTAGAGAGAGTAGAAGGGAGGGGGAGAAACAGAGAAACATCCTTTGGTTGCCTCCGCATGCACCCAGACCAGGGTGGGGGATGAGCCTGTAACTGAGGTATGTGCCCTTGACCAGAATTGAACTCGGGACCCTTCAGTCTGGGGGTTAATGCTCTATCCACTGAGCCAAACTGGCTAGGGCCAAAGATAAACTTCTTAAGGTCTCTGTCACCTGAATAAAAAATGGTGACATGCCTCACTGTTACTTTATCTCTTAGGGATGTTACCCATTTTTACAATTATATGCTAGGCAGAAAATCCTCACATTTAAGCTTTTTAAGGAAGTAGTTTAATTGAATATGTGGTTAATACATGTGCAATTTTTAAAAAACTTGTGGTGTTTAAAATAATTTTATTGTGAAAATTCAGGCATCAGAAAGTCATATCTCTTGGCCAATATGTACAAACTTATTGAGATGATACTGAAGTTTTTACATTATATTAAGCAAGTCTACCAGTAAGTGTCTTACAAATATTTGTATTGTATTACTGACAAAGTAGTGCAGAGTCACCTTGAATTCCAAGCAACTGACATTTTCGGCGATTGCATTTAAAGTAAGCTAATAAAGCATTATTTAAACATTTTGCATAAATAATGTCCTCCGTAGAGTTCTCACAATTGATGGCTAAATGTGGGCAGGGAAATCATGTCATTCATGTTGTATTCTGTTATATTCATTAAAGTTTTTCTAAAAACCTAAATTACAATATCCCTGGTTCTAGTTATTTTGCAAATAAGATATGATTATAGGAAAGTTATGGCATAACTTGTTCACAGGCACTTTCTCTATTAAGAAATGATTCATTCATGTATTCATTGTGTATTTTTTTAAACTACTACACGGTGCTGTGGGTATGAAAGTGAGTAACAACCACCCAAAAGAGGTTATACTCTATGTGTTCTTTGTGGTCAGGTAGGTGAAAGAAGAAATGCTTGGAAAAAACTAAGACAAAGCAGAATGGGGTGGTTGTACTTCTTGGGGTACGTTCTAACACAGAAGGAATTCAGAAGAATGATGCTGAGTAGGATGACGAGGAAAGACTGAGGAGGAGGGATCATTTGAGTTCAGCTCTGAAGGCTGGTTAGCATTTCTGTGGGTAGAGATGGATAGAGCTGGAGGAAGACCATTGAAGTGGCTGGGATATGACAGGGAGTGCACGGTGTGTAACTGACAAGGCCCCTTTGGCTGAAGCACAGGTGCTGGTGGACATCTGAGTTGCTGGAGCCCAGCAGACAGTACAGGGTGTGGGAATAAAATTGCTGACAGGTCAGGTCTGGAGATAAATTTGGAGGAGTCGTTGGCATGAAAGTGATCTTGGAAATTGGGCTTTGGGTTTTGTGTGTGGCAGAAGGTTTGACAGGCAGAAGGGGATGACTGTACCTCAGGGGTGACATCAGCTGGTACAAAATATGTAGAGAGAAGGTAAGAGGCATGGAAGAGAAGCTGGAATGTTGGAGTGGCACAGCCTTTGTATGCTTCCTCTTTAAGACCTGGGGTAGAGGGTGCGTGGGTGGAGAAGTGGGGATGATGCATGGGTGGGTAATGGGGGGTCTGCCCTGGAAGCTCAGGCACTTTGGAGTGTCAGCTCAATGAAATCTTGTTGAAACCTTTATTCCTTTAAGACATTTAAAAAAGAAAGGAACATGAGCTAATTTTAGCTAAACCTAATACGTGTGTGTATGAAAACGAATGTTGCTTTTGAAATTCCGTGCATGCATTATCTGTTGTCATTTAAACAAACCATCCTTCTGTTTTCCTCTAAACAGTTATATTAAGAAGCTTTTCAGTGAGGCCCTGTACATAGTAACAACAATTCCAGCATTTCCTTTGATCTTTCCCACTGTTGATTTATTCATTTCACGTGATATGCGTAAATCACATTGTGCCACCTACTTGACTCTGGAGCAATTGTTCATTTTTGTGGCAATTCATTTACTGTACTTAGATCAATCACATTAATATGGATGTGTTTTATAACTTTAGAGGCTTTTCCGAAGGCTTTATATGGACTCTTTTTAAATGTCACACACACACACACACACATACACACACACACACACACACAGAAAGCACAGCTTTCTGAAGTTTGGCTTCCCATTTATATTATAGAAAAAAAAAGTAGGATTAGTGAGCCTTGACTTTGGAGTGGGTGAAAACTTCTTGGCTCAAAATGACAGGGAAAACTGGAAATTATCTGGTTACACTGCTGTTAGTGGGCAGTCTCTTTTAATATAGTTAAAGAAAATTTGAAGATTATTTAAGTGTTTTGTTTTGTTTTTTACATTAGTTTTAGATGGGCTGTTTGTATTCCCCTAAAGGGCTTAGAATGAGGCAATGACTTACCTACCTTTCACTAAAGACAGGAAAGTTAGGATCGGGGTGAGAGGAATGGAAAACACAACTCCAGGGGCAGGTCACTCTGCAGATATTTAATAAGCATCTACTGTGTGAGAAGCTTTATGCCAGTTGGGCCCTAAAAGAAATTTAGAGATGATCAGTAGTTCTCACTGTGTGTTAACTCATTTAATCCTCATTGTGGTCTTCTGAGGTAGACACTATTATTATCTCCATTTCATGGATGGGGAAACTGAGGCACGGAGGCAATAAGTGACTTGGTCAAGGTTGACCAGCTCTAGTGGTAGCATCTTTACTGCTGCCATGCATTGTCTCTCAAGGCTTAAGCCCGGTCCATAAGAAGCTTACAGTTGAGCCCAGAAGGCAAGGTATGTCCAGGAGTAATATTTAAACAATTACAAGAGAGGAATAGCATACTCTCAGAGGCCAGGATCAGGGAAGGGCTCATGGGCAATGAACCTTCTTTTTTAATGCTTGCCTGTCCATTCCGAGCCGCGTATGGGCTGTCTTTGTGGTGTTTTCTTTCACTCTTTCTCATATTCCTACACATTTTCAATAATTATTAATTGCAGAAAATGATGACAGTGGCAATATGCTTATCTGTGTTTGGGCTCTAAATGTTGTTTGACATCAAGAGTCCCTGTGAGACGATGAACTTTTGACTCTTCAAAGAACTTCACTGGGTCATTGCTCAGCTTGCAAGATTTGGCAGATAGGAACTAT